CCCCAGAGATGTCCCCACGATTGTCCCCCGTGTCCCCTGGTGCTGCCTCCACCCCCCCCGGGGGTGGCAGCAGCCCCCACAGCCCATCCCTGGTGCAGGGGGATGCCGGCGGGCGGGGGGCTGCTCTGCGGGGCCAGCGGCCTGGCCCTGCTCCTGGCCGCCACCGCCACCCACTTCTGGCTGCAGCGCCGGGCGCCCGGTGGCACCGCCAACCTCGGGCTGTGGCGAACCTGCCTCGGGGGGCACTGCCGCCCCCACCCCGGCACTCCGGGTAGGCACCGGGTGAGATGAGCTGTGCCCAGCCTCTGTGGGGTGGGGATGGGGGGGGAGCACTGCTGTGCTGAGCTGTGCCTGGTCTCTGTGGGGTGTGTGGGGTCACTGCTGCACTGAGCTGTGCCCAGCCTCTGTGGGGTGGGGAATGGGGGGAGTTCTGCTGCACTGAGCTGTGCCTGGCTTCTGTGGGGTGGGGTTGGGAGGGGTCACTGCTGCATTGAGCTGTGCCCGGCCTCTGCAGGCAAGGTGTGGGGGCTGTGTTCTGGGTGTGTACTTGCTTGGTGTCCTGTGTCCCCAACACCTGTGTGTGTCCCCCACCAGCCTTATGGGAGGCCACACGGGTGCTGATGCTGCTCTCAGTGCTCACTGCCACCGCCGGCCTCGCTCTGGGGCTCTCCATCGTGGCCAGTGCTGCCCGGCGGGCGCGTGCCCGCATGGCTGGTGTCACCCTGCTCCTGGCTGGTACGTGGGGATGGGATGGGGGGGCGGGGCTGGGGCACACGGAGCTCAGGGACTGTCCCCAGGGGAGTCACTGCTGCATTGAGCTGTGCCCAGTCTCTGCAGGCTGAGCTGTGCCCAGTCTCTGCAGGCTGAGCTGTGCCTAGCCTCTGCCTGCCTGGCTGGGGGCTCGCAGGCTGGGCTGGCCCGTGCTGCCGACCCATCCCCTCTGCCCGCAGGTCTGCTGGCACTGCTGGGGCTGGGGGTGTACACGGCTGGCACGCTGAGCCTCCTGGGGCCAGCCCGTACCGCCTGGCGCTTCTCCTGGTCCTACATCCTGGGCTGGGTCGCCGTCGTCCTCATCGGCTCAGCAGGTAGCAGCACCCGCAGGGCCTGGTCACTGCTGTGCTGAGCTGTGCCCGGTCTCTGCAGGGCTGAGCTGGGGCCAGCCACGTGCCGAGAGCACCCACAGATGGGGGGCAGCAGGGAAGGCTCCCCCACACCCACACTGAGCCGTCCCCGTGCCCCACGGGCTCCTCTCTCCCCCAGGGCTTTTCCACCTCTGTGCCGCTGCCAAGGACCCGTCTCCAGAGAGCTCTGAAGTGGCGGGTGCCTGAGGGGCCCCAGCCGCCTCGGGGGGGGTCCCCGCTCCCGCCCTCACCCTCCTCCCCGCAGGAGTCGGGTGGGTGCACCCTGGGATGCAGGTCACTGCTGTGCTGAGTTGTGTCCAGTCACTGCTGTGCTGAGTTGTCCCTGGTCTCTGCAGGGCTGAGCTCCCCCTGCTCTCCCAC